CACATGTGGCCTCAGTCCTTGGCAGTGCCACGCGGGTGATGCAAAAGGTCCTCCCCTTGCTAGAGAGCCCCTGACGGAGGTCCAAGGAGGCCTGGAGAGCCCCAGGATGGGAGTCGGCCGCAGGCAGCTTGTGGCACCCTCCTGACACATTCACGGCCGGCAGCGGCCTGGGGCTTTCCAACGGCAACAGCTGCAGTGGCAGAATCTCTGGTTGACAAAGGCTGATGCTGGAAGATCAAATATCCCATGCAGGGAGGGAGTGGGGGAGGGGCCTCTCTCGCTCTCTCTTTCCCGAAAGCCACAGAGAAGCATGCGGGGTGGGGGCTGCCCGCCCGCCTGCCCTTTCTGCTGCCGCTGCCGCGCCAGGCAAAGGCCTTGTTTATCCACAGCAGCTGTTTGGGTCACCAGACCTTTCTGGCCCTCCTTCCCAGCCCCCAGAGGACACAAAAAGGCATGGACAGACAGAAACAGGAAATGGCCCCGAGGCCCCCTGTGAAGCAGCCACGCCACCGCCTCTCTCCCCTGCTGCTTGCAAGGGGGCCAGGGGCGCCTCCCTCCCTCCCTCAGCGGGTGCTCTGCAGCGGTGGCACCACCACCAAGGAGGCCTCCCCTCGCTCACGTATCAGGAAGAGGGAGACGAGGACGTCACAGTTAAGGGTCTTTCTGTGGCCACTAAGAAATCACTCGGCAGCCGAAGCAAGTCATCCCCCAGACACAGACCCAATTTTTAGGACAAGAGGGACAGAACAACGTTTTTATTCAAGACCGTTTCTGTGGGTGGAGCCGTGTTTGTCAGGGGTAGAGGAGTGAGGCCTGAGTCCAGGAGCCCCGGAGGGACCCACCAGGCTTCCGGGGCCAGAGCTTTCCTGGGTCACAGCCACCTCCCACCAGACACCCCCGAGAGGAGCCCCGGACTCGGGGACATCTCATGCCCCCTCCTCCAAACTGTGCTGGTCTTCAAGGTGCTCCTTGACACATTTCCTTCAGAGTTTCAGCTGCATGGAAGACCAGTGCAAACATCCTGGCTTAATAAAATCAGAACTGATCTTCTCAACGCACAAATGCCAGGGCGGTTGACATGTCGGGCTAGGACAGGGGTGGCCAAACTGCGGCTCGGGAGCCACGCGTGGCTCTTCCACACATATTGTGCGGCTCCCAGAAGGGCGGCCGGGGACCTCTCTCTCTCTCTTTTCTCCTCCCTCCCTCCCCCCCCCCCATCGATTTACTTTCTTTCCACCTCTTTCTTTCTTTTCACCTTTCTTTCTTTCTTTCTTTCTCCCTTCCTTCCTTCCTCTCTCTCTTCCTTCCTCCCCCTCCCACATCTACGTATTTGCTCTCTTTGTTTCTCTCTCTCTCTCTCTTTCCTTCCACCTCTTTCATTCCTTCCACCTCTTTCTCTCTTAGGCAAATAAATTAGACAAATAAATATTATTATCAATATCTGTTTTTACCCCTTTTTATTTTTGGCAGTCTCATTTAATGTTAGTAAAAAGCAAATTTGTACATTTTCCAATTAGGACGTGTGTGTAATATCCGTCCATGTCTTGCAGCTCTCAAACATCTGACGCTTATTCTGTGCGGCTCTTACGCTGAGCAAGTTTGGCCGCCCCTGAGCTAGGATCTGGGAGACTCTGGGTTCGAATCCCCAGCTCTGCCATGGAATCTCACGATGGGGGGGCCCTTAGGCCAGTGACACACTCTCATCCTAATCTACCTCACAGGGTTGTGGTGAGGATACCTTGGAGGAGGGAACAGCGACGTCATCCACTTTGTGTCCCCCTTGGGAAACACATTAATGAAATCCACGCATAAAGGTCATTTCTGAAGGCTGAGGGCAGCAGCCCTATGAAAGAATGCTGCTTTCCATTGCAAGAAACAGGCTAGCCTCCACCTCCAGCGGAGAACACTGCTACCTATTTCTGAGTTTACCTGCCACGCAAAGAACATGGCCTCCCCACCTGGCCAGTAACTGCCCCAGGGCGACTCCAGGACCAAGACGAAGGGGCCGACTAAAACAGAAAGGCAGCCGGGAACTTCCCTGCCCACCCGCTCGTGGGACACAGTCCGGCCGCCACGGCTGCAGGGAGACCCTCTCAGAGTCCAGGAGCTGTGTGCCCCCAAAATAAAGGACGTCCGGAATACCTTTTTGTTGTCAGACGGCAAAATACGATGATGGCCGGGATGGCTTTAAAAGGAGATCAGAGAGCTTGGCGGAGGTGGTGCCCCGCAAGGGCCGCTGGCCATGGTGATTAAAGCCAACTTCCACCCAATACTCCCTTTAAGCTGTGGTGTCTTGTGAGCAAAAATTCCACTTTGTGAGCTACGGGCATTAAAGTTGTGAGCGAGCGATTTGGCTGCTGCATAGATCAGTCTGCTGTGGAGCCCTCCTTCCTGAGCGAATGCAAGAATGTCTGAGCCGGAGGCTGAGAAACTGTGAGCTAGCTCACACTAACTCAGCCTAGAGGGGACACGGCTTCCACCTATGGAGGCAGCAAACGTCTGCATCCCAGTGCCAGGAGGCCTCAGTGCCCTGCATGCTGGGCCGGCCTGTGTGAGACAGGCTGTGCTGGACGAGAAAGACCCCCACTGGCCTGATCCCGCAGGGCCAGTGGGGGTCCCTGTGGAGCCAGTTTGGTGTCGTGGTGAAGTGCGCGGACTCTAATCTGGGAGAACTGGGTTTGATTCCCCACTCCTCCTCCACTTGCACCCGCTGGTGTGACCTTGGGTCACTCACAAGTTCTCTCCGAGCTGTTCTCTCAAGGGCAGTCCTCGAAAGAGCTCTCTCAGCCCCGCCTACCTCACAGGGGGTGTATGTTGTGGGGAGGGGAAGGGAGAGGAGTCTGTAAGCCGCTCTGAGACTCCTTTGGGTAGTGAAGGGCCATGGGGTATAAATCCAATCTCTTCCTCTTCTTCTTCAGATGGTCTTGTATGCCTCTGGCAGTAGTCCTATTTTGGCAGGAGGCATTGCTTTGCTTAGATGATAATACATGTTCTGCTTTTTGTGCTTCTCAAGGGTGGCTATCAAAAAAGGATTTCAGATTGGAATTTTATCGTGTATGTTTTCAACTGATAGCTATCTCGGAAGGGCAGAAAGGCGGGATATAGACGTTGTAAATACAAATATATAATATATACTTAGCACCCTTCGGGGGGGGGACATTAGTGCTGAACAGCCCCGGGTGAGGCACCCGCCCATCAGGTCACCTTGGGACAAGCAGCCGTATCCTCTCACAGCCCTCCAATCTCACCCCCCACCCCACCCCCGCATTCTGGGCAAATCTCGCCAATCCTACAGGGCCGTTGTAAGGAATCAGCAGCTCACCACCCTGACCTGGATGGCCCAGGCTGGCCCAATCCCGTCAGGTCCCGGGAGCTAAGCGTGGTCGGCCCTGACAAGTACCTGGAAGGGTGACTTCCAAGGAATACCAGGGCCGGGATGCACGGGCACTTCTGAACCATCTCTTGCCTCAGAAACAAGTCTAGCTCACCACCCAGGGGTGCATAAATCTAAAAGGGCTGGAACTTCTGGCTGCCAGACAATCTTAGGATCTCCTGACTACACTACACACACTGCCGTACAAGGACGACAATACGACTAGGAGCGCACTGTGTGCGTGCACCACTTCCAGCCCTGCAGGGATTCATTCTTGGGCCTCTGGGAGCAGCTGGGGGGGCCGCACAAGGGCAACCATACCAAAAAAGGTGAGGCCCCTCCAGGCAACCAGGAGAGCCTGGGAGGAGCCAGGCTTGACAGCAAAGCCGTGGGGCCAGCTGCACCCCCCCCACACACACACACAGTGCACCATTCTTAAGGGCTGGGGGGCGGGGCCCAGAGAGGTGCTCGCTTGCCCGGTAGTGGTGGTGGGGGGGGGGGCTTGTGGCACTGCCAGCAGAGGCTGCCCTGGCTCACAGCAAGGCGGGGCCTCAGAGAACCCCTCCACACACACACACACAACCGCATTTCCGGCAGCTTCGTGGCTCACAGTGTTGTCCCCAGCCAGATGACAAAGAGCAGAGCCGAAGACACACGCCAGGAGGCACACGCAGGACCAGACCCCCCCCCGCCCAGCCTCTTCTGCACAGACCAGGCGGGGGGAGTGGAGGGGAGTAGGGGAGGCTCTCCCAGTCCCAGTCCTCCTCTCCCAGCCTCCAAGGGGGGGAGGAAAGGGCAGCCTCACCTTGCGGGTCTCCCAGCAGCAGCAGCAGAAGCAGCAGCAGCCGCCGCCGCCGCGCCTGGCCGGGAGACATCAAAGGGAGGGAGGGAGGGAGGCATTCCAGGGATTCTAGCAGGGAGACGAGAGGCAGCATCTGTCCCCAAGAGAGCCCCCGCCTCCACTCTGGGGCGGGCGGAGGAAGCGCCAGGCAGACCCCGACGGGTGCCCCCGCCGCCCTCCCTGGCCCCGGAGAGGGCCCGACCACCACCCCTCCGAAGGCCTCTGCGCTCTGGGAGGGACCGCCACGGATCCCCCCCACACACACACACACACGAAA